TGCGTGAGTGTGTGTGTGTGTGTGTGTGTGTGTGTGATTGTGTGTGTGTGTGTGTGTGTGTGTGTGTGTGTGTGTGTGTGTGTGTGTGTGTGTGTGTGTGTGTGTGTGTGTGTGTGTGTGTGTGTGTGTGTGTGTGTGTGTGTGTGTGTGTGTGTGTGAGAGAGAGAGAGAGAGAGAGAGAGAGAGAGAGAGAGAGAGAGAGAGAGAGAGAGAGAGAGAGAGAGAGTGTTCTTACCTTACCCAATTGTTTCAGTATGGGAGAAGAGCTAAGCTCCTGTAGTCCCGTCTGCTATATTTAAATTATCATCCAACTCTTTAAATCGCTGCACATTTTTGGCACACGCAACGTTATTTGAAAGACAGTTCCATGTGCCAGTATTTCTTTTTGGGAAATTAAACTTCTTGACATCTTTCACACCTCTTTTTACTTTGAACTTTTTGCAGTATCCTCTCGTCCTTTTTTGTGTTTAAAATTATAAAGTTATCTTTGTCTAACTTCACCCTTCTTGTAATATAGTCGAATATCATTATCATGTCACCTATTTTTCTTCTTTCTTCCAAAGTAGTAAGACTTATCTTCTGTAGTCTTTCTTCGTAGTTCATATATCATAAAGTAGGTGATCATTTTATGGCTGCTCTTTGAACTCTTTCTAGTTTATCTATATCTTTTTTTTAAGTGTATACTCAAGATTAGGTCTTATGATGGTTGCAGTGACCTTTACTATGTCTTCGTCCAAATACACGAACGCCCTTGTTGGCAATCAGCCCTAGCATTTTATGAATCTTGTCATTTATATGATAATTTGGGCTTAGTTCCTGTTTATGATTATTCCAAGTTCTTTTTTTCTTTATCTGCTTGGTTTGATATTACGTCTCCTAACTTATATTGGTATAGTGGACGACTTTTACTTTCTCTGAACCTGACTATATGGCATTTATTGGTGTTAAGTTCCATTTTCCATGTTAAGCTCCAAATGAATAAGTTCTCAATGTCACTTTGGAGGCATTGGCATGGGGCATCGTTTTTTTGTCTTCCTTTTTTTCAATTTCGCGTCGTCTGCAACATATTCAGATAACTATCAAATTGTTTATTTGATATCATATCGTGTTTTTTCAAGTACTTCAACCCACTGTTTCCTAGTTATCCTTTCTAACAGCTGGCATACTATACTAGATAACGAAACTGGTCTATAATTTAAAGGGTTTTGTTTGTCGCCGTTCTTATATAAAGGTGTAACATTGGCAAATTTTCAATCTATTGGTAGTTTTCCTTGTCTCACTCAATTTTGGAATATTAACAATAACGGAGTATATAATTCTTCGGCACGTTCCCTCAGAACCCAGTTAGCTATCTCATCTGGTCCCTCTGCTCTAGTCTTGTCTAACTCTTTCGGTAGGTCTTTTATTTCCTTCTTCTCGAGTGTGATATTTTCGATATTCTGATTTACATTTGTACGGTTGCTTGCCATTTCAAAGTATGGGTCCTGAACAAACACTGACTGAAATTTCTCATTAAGAATTTCACACATATTCTCTTCCTTAGTATAAACGATGTTGTCTTTGATGGTGCTAATTTGATCTCTACTTTTAGTCTTACTATTTATGCAGTTAAAGAAGAGCTTTGGTTGGTTGGCACGTTTATTGATTATATCCAATCCTATATCTAATTTCGTCTCTCTCATGGTTTGGGTATACTCATTGCTTTCTACTTTATACCTCTCATACGCTGCCTGAGATCTATGTCTTCTGAACCTTCTCCATAGTTGTTTGTTTTCTCTCAATTTCTTGCATTTATTACTGAACCATTTCTGGCCAATTCTTACTTCATTTTTGAGTCTTGATAAAAAAAAATCTACTCCTTGTTTATAGACTTCGCAAAATTTAGAATATTGCTTATCAAGGTTTTGTTCGTTCAGGATGGTTTCCAAGTTTATGCCATCAAAGAAATCTTTAAGGCTTCTATAATTACCTCTTTTGTAATTGTACTTTCCTTTTCTTTCCCTACTTACGATGTTTTTTTTTGTAGCAGACAGTATTTCAACTTAATTACTATATGGTCAATTTTTCGTAGAGGAGGACAGTACCTCATATCCTTAATGTCATCTTTATGCTTTGTAAATATTAGGTCATGCATAGACGGTCTGTCTAGCCCTCTTATCCTGGTATGATCTGTAGCACTTCTAAGCTCTTTAACGTTTCTTGAATAAGATTGTGGTAATTTTCTTGTGACCACATCGATGTATGAGGTGGCATGTACACTGTGGTTATTATTATATTTACTCAGTTTGTTTCTACACCAATTGCCTATAGTTCTACCTTGGGATCTTGTTGAATCTCTTTATAATAATTCTTTTATAATCATTCTTTTCCTTGTTAATATTGCTAACCCTCTCCTTTTCTCCAAATATTGTAGTCTCTGAGTCCTAATGTTACATCGTCTACGGAGGGATCCAGTTTGGATTCAGCGATGCATATTACATCTGGTTTATAACTTTCAGTATTTGCATCTAGTTCTAGTAACTTCGAACATAAACCATCTACATTTGTATAAACTATTTCTATATAATCTTTCAGTATTTCTTTTGGCTGCAAGGCTAATGATTGTCTGTCTGAACAGTTTGATTCCGATAGTAAACGTGTTTTGGCCTCTCACCTCTCAATTTTTTTTTCTTTCTCCAGTCCTTTGTTCGTTTTTGTTTTTACCTCTTCCATTTTATATGCAGTATTTCTCTGTCATCTTTGGTCTTATTTTCTCTTATCCGGATTTTCTTATATTCTTCGTGCGTGACCAGTACTTTAGCTTTCTTTATTACATCAGTTACCATTTGCTTATTCATAAATATCACCTTTAAAGAGCGTTTCTTTCCCCTTTTCGAATTGTCCCAATCTCCTGTGGATTATGATATTCTGCACTGAGAATTCGGGATTTATGGCCTTGAGAATATTGACAATCAATTTCTTGTCTTCGTTGTATCGTACGATTCCATCTTCTACAACTTCTTCATGTCTCAATATGATTATGTCATTACATCAGCCAAATTTGCAATGTTCCTTGCGTGTTGCCTAAGGTGTGACTTAAATTAATTTATCTTTGCCGTCTTTGCAAACTGTATTTTTATTTCTTTCTTTGTTATCATGATGTCTTTTCAAACTTTTTTTTCCATTTTATTTACAGTTTCCTTTACTTTAGATACATTGGTATATGTAGCTGACAACGTTTTTGCTTCTTACACTATTTGAGGTTGGCTGCTTGACAAATTGCTTTCAATCTGCTTAACAGTTTCTTTGCAGATTCTTTGCTTCGCTTTACAAACTGTTGCCAATCTTGGTTTCTATTTCTTCCACCTTTTCCTTGTGCTCTGATTTCCATGTCAGACTTTTCCGTATTCTCTGTCTGAATGGTTGTGTTCCTGCGCAATTATCCACGAATTCCTTCAAATTTACGTTTTCTTCACGTGTTTTCAAACATTCTGCTACCAGGATGTCAACCTTGGCTTCAAGAGCCGCAATTTTATCTGCTCATTTGAATGGTTACCCATAAAACAGAAAACATAATAGAACTGTACTCACGGCAGTTGTCTCTATGCGCGAAAACGTTTACCATGCAGTATTCGCGGTGACTTCTCGCCTCCCTCTCCTTCGCTCTCACCTCCAGTCTCCCAGGCCTCACTATCTTTATTTTCAATTTTCCACTTATTCGTTCACTTTATAAACCAATTTAATATTCCAACATGAACCGTGGACATTTACAGAACCCCTGGCTAGCAGGGTTAGACTACCCGTTGCCTGATCTTTTCCGTCTTTAACATGTTTGAGCTGTACTTCAGTGGTACTATGCACTGTACTCTCCGTGTGTGTGTGTGTGTGTGTGTGTGTGTGTGTGTGTGTGTGTGTGTGTGTGTGTGTGTGTGTGTGTGTGTGTGTGTGTGTGTGTGTGTGTGTGTGTGTGTGTGTGTGTGTGTGTGTGTGTGTGTGTGTGTTCTTACCTATTTGTTCTAATGCGGGAGAAGATCTAAAATACTTAAATTATCATGTAACTTTTTAAATTGATGCACATTTTTGGACACAACGTTATTTGGAAGATTGTTCCATGTTTCAATAGTTCTGTTTGGGAAATTGAACTTCTTGACATCTTTCTCGCCTTTTTGTGTGTGTGTGTGTATGTGTGTGTGTGTGTGTGTGTGTGTGTGTTTAAGTCCTCAGTCACGCCGTTAGTATATTTCCTAATCTCCTTCAAGTTATTAACATTTATCAAAACTGCCAAACAGTATTAACTTGGAGATATATGGGTTCATATTGTGAGTATCCACTTTCATAACTTTAGCATCAATCACCACGCCATATATATATATATATATATATATATATATATATATATATATATATATATATATATAAATGTGTGTGTGTGTGTGTGTGTGTGTGTGTGTGTGTGTGTGTGTGTGTGTGTGTGTGTGTGAGTGTGAGTACACACACACACACATACATATGCAGAGGCGTCATTTCAGCTTTTGCACTCAATAGACTAAACAGAATCATATTGGACTAATGATAAGTCTTATGTTGGCTAAATGTTATGGTATATATATATATATATATATATATATATATATATATATATGTATATATATATGTATATATATATATATATATATATATAATATATTTTTTTTCGGTATCTACGGATAATATATATAAATCTATTCTTGTGTTGCTGTTGTAGTTCTATTACCACAAGTTGTAGTACAGTTTTATAGAGAAAGAGTGAATACCGTGGTACTGGCGATACTGATGTAATCATAATGCATACATATTTAAACCCCCCAGCTCTGTGCAGATATGTGTATGTGTGTGCGTATAAATGATATTTACATTCCTATCATTTTGTGTTATATGTCATAAGCCATATGTTATGTTAAAACAAATATTTGAGTTATCCCTATAAGACATTCTCTCTACTCCCTCGTGTTTCCCATTTTCTTTGCCATCTGTATCCAGCAGGCGGTCGTTATCAGGAGCCTCACAGGCAGGTTAGAGGTATATATCTCTAAATATTTGTATAATCAAGTGATGTCATCTATTATTATGTAACTCAAAATTGAGATATATGTATAAAGATTCTTTTTGTGTGAAGAAAACAAAGTTTATGTTTTAGATATATATTAAGAGGAAGAATTTGTACTTGTTTCAGTTTTACGTGAGAAATCACAATCAAACAAATAAAATGATAAATGAAGCTGTACAAAAGGAGGAAAGGAATAAACAAATACCAAAGATGAAGCATATCCCCCTGTACAACCTGATCTACCGTCTTTTATGACCGGTACAGTAAAACACTAATTTGACAAGCAAGAATCTAAGACGCCAGCAAGAAATCTCCACAACCATGTAAAACTACCAAGAAAAACTCCCATCAGTTGAAACACCATCTAGTAAATTCTAAGGACTATAGTAATCAGGAGATGGAGAGACGGGAAAAGGAAAAAGAGGCCAGATCTGATGTTTCTTCAAAAAAAAGGTCTTCATAGAAAGAACCCTTTGAAGACCTGCCGCAAGTAGGATCTCGGCCTTGAAACCCGAGGATCGTCTCCGGAAGCCAGCGAGGAGGAACAGGAGGAGGATGAGGGGCGTCGAGGGGACTGGCCAAGCAACAGGAAAGGGTTGAGGAGATGGCAGGGAGAGAGTTCTTTAAAAGGTTGTAAGTAGAAAGCATCATTATGTTTTAAGTAGGTTAAATGTTCTAAAAAGTTCTTGGAGAAAACTATTCACAGCATGAGTTAGCTTAATATGTATCATAAAGAATTAACACAGTTTGAAATCCTCCAACAAAATTCTTAGGATTTGATTTCTCTAACTGATTCAAACTTAACTGATAAACTGTATTGGTAGTTACATGAACTAGAAAGAGCATTTTATGAATGGAGTAAGCTTATTGCACATAGAAGGGAGGATTAGTAGAGGTGCAAGGTATTCTGATAACTCTGCCAGTTCAAGTAAATACAAACACTTAGCAGCAGAATTGACTAGGTTAAAGGTAGAACAGCAGTTTCAAGAGGAAGGAAGACAACAAGCAATTAGTGAGCTTGATCAAAAGTTGTAAACAAAGAAATGAAAGTAGATGTTTTAAATGAAAACTTATAAACATATAAACTTGTAAACATATAAATCCAAACATAGAAACATTGCATTGATTTGTCTGCCATAGGCTTGAATGTTATATATATATACAAGAAGAAGTTTCTAATTTGGAACAAACCATTTTACAGGCTAACCTGAAAGTCAACCCAAGAGTTCATCAACCACAGAGATGCAACCACAACCAGCTTCTTGTCAAGCACCACAACTACAAACACCAGTGCAGGTACAATCAACCCAATAACCACCATTCCAGGATCCAGCAGGTGGCCCAAGCTATGTCAAATCACTCAAGTTAGACCTTACTGTAAACTTTGGTAGATCTAATGAAAGACAAAAGAGATTTGCTGCATCCAGAGCCTGAGGTATTCAAAGAAGCTTTATTAGTTTTACATGGATTCAAATCTCTGAAATTTTCACTGAATCAAGAGTTTCAAATCCTGCAGAAGAGTTGTTCTGTCTAGGAAAATACATTGATGGGAAGGCTAAGGCTGCAGTTAAAGATCATTTATGAGTCCATACAGAAGCAGCATATCAAAGAGCTAAGAGTATCTTGATAGGTATGGTAATGAATTTATAGTAGCCAGTGTTTTCAGGAAGAAATTAAGAGTAGACAAAGATTGCAATTAATGATGCTCTAACTTTACAGTAATTATCAGATTTCCTAAAATTTGTGTTGCTATAAAGACTACAACAAGATACCTACATATTTTAAAGGACCCACAGGAGAACAGCCTTGTCCTGCAAAAGTTACCTCCAGTTTTGATAAATAGATGGAACAATATAGTACATGAATGGTGGTCAGAAAAAGCAGGATATCCACAATTTAGTCTCTTTTATCAGTTTATAGAAAAAGAGGCAAAGGAAGGTTGTAATCCCAATATCTTTTTACACTGCAGTAATGTTAGTCATAGTAAAGGCCCAACTGTATCTAAAGGGAGCAGGGATGGAAAGATAGAAGCATATAAAACTGGTTTAGTTTGTGTTTAATGCAACTGACGCCAAGGAGAATGAACTACAAAAAATGAGAAATCTCATAATGATGATAGGAAACAGAGTACCAGAAAATTACAGTGTATTAAATATAAGGGAGAAAATGAATTTGATAATTGTAAAAGAAAAATTAGGAACTGGAAAACAATAAAAAAAATGGACTATGTATTAAAAAAATTACCTCTGTAGTTCCTTGAATTGAGGACATGTAGTGAAATATTGTAGAAAAAGGAAAAGTTGTGCCATATGTGACAGACGTCTTCATGATGTTATATTAGAGAAAGTAAAGGAGGAGAGATGGGATGTTAAATCTGAGGAGGCTAATAAAGTTGCAAATGAAGATAAATATTTATCAAACAGGATTAGCATCACTAAGTCTATGATAGGTGATAGATAGTGCCAGTGTGGTTATATAAGAATACTAATAAAGCAAAGACAGTCTTGGTATATGTTTTAATGGCTGATCAGTCTGGTGCTTGTTTTGTAAAGAATAGAACTCTAGAAACATTGCAAGTAACAGTACCACAAGTGAATTTGCAAATAAGTATTGTAATGGGTGAAACTAACATACTTTGCACTAAAATAAAGGAACATGTGGTACAGGGAACGTATGAACAAAAGGAAATAATATTACCTATTGTATATCCTAGAATAGCAGCTAATCTCTCAAAGAAGATGTTTAAAATCAGTTTCTACAGTTACAAAAACCATCCAACTTATTGATAGAAGTGAAAAAGTGTGCATGAAAGGTTGATTTAAGCTACACAAGTTTTGCATCAATCATTCCTCATTGATATGGCAAGCAGTATCAAAACATTAAATCATACTAAGGATACGCTGCTTATTGAAAGAACTCAAGGAATAGAGTGGTGCATAGAATCTGATGATTTCAAATTTAAGATTAATTTAAGCAGAAACCCAGAACAAAATTATCTACTGTTAGTTCCATCTGTGACAAGTTAGGTCTGGTATCTCTATCTTAAACAGTAAAAGAATACTCCGAGATTAATGTAAAGATGGAGTAGACAAGTATGATGCAGTATCAGAAAGTGTAACAGTGGGAGCATAATAATAAAATAATAAATAATAAGGGTAAAATGGAATTACTATTACTGCAAAATGTAGATATACCAAGATGCTATAAGCCTGAAGTATTTGGTGAGGTGAAGCAAGTTGAATTTCACCATTTCTCAGATCCTAGTTAAGATGGTTGTAGCCAGTATTCTTATATAAAGGTGATACATGAGAATGGGTGGGATTCATTGTGCACTAACAGTCCCAAGTTTAGAACTTATAGCAGCTGTTATATCGGTTAGAATTCACACAGTACACTGAAAGCAGCTAAATTATGAAAATGTGAATGAAGTATTTTCGACTGACAGCTAAGTAGTACCTGGATATATCTACAATGAAGCTAAGAGGTTTTATGTGTTTGTAGATAATAGTGTACAACAAATCAGAGTCCAAACATCACTGTCACAGTGGAGGTATGTTTAAACAGACAACAATCCAGCTGACTATACATCACAATGTATGTCTGTAAAGTCTATGACTGAGAATTCCGTGTGGTGGAAAGGTCCACAGTTTCTGTGGCAGAATGTTGATCGTACACAAAATATAGTTGAAGACTACAGTGTAGATGAAGAGGACCCAGAAGTGAAAAAGACTGGCACAAGGCTAAAAAGAGCTGTAGCAGTATGCCTAAGACTTCAGAAGAAATTAAGGGGCAATGGACAAAGAAATGATTATGAAGCTAAAGGGAGAAGTAGAAAATCTGTATATATGCAGGAATGAAAGAAGAACATGAAATAGTCAAACAGCCCCAAACAAAATTGTTTTCTGAAGAATGAAAAGCATTAATGGACAAGCAAAGAAAGGGAGCTTGATCCATTTATAGATGACAATGAGATTATAAGAGTAGGTGGGAGGTTTAGAAGAGCAAATACAAATCAGGATATGAAGCACCCAGGCAATTTACTTAAGAAGTCTCATGGCATTGACTTGATCATTTACCACTATGATAATATGGTATTACATCAGAGTAGGGACATAACATAGAATGAAATTTGAAGCACTGGGTTTTGGATAATAGGAGGTTCTTTTCTTATTAGCAAAGTGTATTGTATTCAGAAAGGTAAGGGTTTGTGGCCAGAAAATGGGTGATCTTCCTTCCTCTTCTACTGTTGATTTCTTGGGGCCATTTAATGTAAAAGAAGTTATAAAAAAACTGAAAAAGATATGGTGTATTGTTCACTTTGATGTTATTTAGAGCAGTCCATTTAGAGACTCAAATGTTTTGAGTACTGATTTAATTAATGCTTATCATTGTTTTATAGAACAAAGAGGCCCAGTGATTCAGCTAAGGTCAGACCAAGGTACAGATTTTGTAGGTGCCAAAAATGAATCAAATGAAGAAAATGAATCAAAATAAGATCAGAATTGAATTATTGTTAAAGGATAATTGCAATTTGCTTTGAACTTAAGCTTAATAGACCTTCTGCTAGTCATATGGGCTAAGTTTGGGAATGTCAGAGCCACACTGTCAGGAATATACTCTTTGTTATTAGATCATCATGGTTCTCAGTTAGGTAATGAATCTGTAAGGACTTTTATGGTTGAGGCAGAGTGTATTGTAAATAGTCATCCTCGTGACATATGACACATTTAAACTGGACATCTGGAACCATTAACGTCAAACATGAGTCGTACATTAAGATTCAGAATTCTAATGCCTCTTCCAGGAAATCATGAAAGTCTTGATATGTACTTAAGGAAATGATGGAGAAGGATTCAGTATTTGGTAAATGAGTTTTGGTCTAAATGAAAGAGAGAGTACTTAATACATTGTAAGTAAGACTAATGGATAAAACCA